AGGATCAATTAATAAACTACTAACACCAACACTATATGAGAGGAAATAAAAAGTAATTCCCTATAATTATTAAAATATTATTTACACAAAAGTATTGAATGTGAAGTTGTTGTTTCTTGACATGGTCTCGAGTGAAGCCCATCTCTTGAGGAGGTGGTGTTCCCGTCTCTGCTCCTGTGCCTGTGAATCTACACCACATTGAAATGACAGCTTCAGTCAGCATCCATAAAGCATGTTCCATTTACATGCGATAAGATTTCCCAGTGAAGTTTTCCCAGAACCGCCCTCGCTAACCTCGAGAATGACAAGGTACATGGATGGGATGTACAGCTTATTTGTCAATGCAGCTTTTATAGCCCTGACCTCACCCACGCAGTCTTCAGTTGTCTTAAAATTTCATAATTCGTCCCACATTATACCTGTGCCCTTTTCGAGGGGTGGGGTGGGGGGTCTATCAAAAGTGGCCTATTGGATCCAGCCCTAGTCACCGTCACCTACTGACCTGACTGCTCTGCCTTGAATTTCACTAGTTCAGCAACTCACCCTCAGAAGTCATTGTTTTTGTTGAATTTCACTCTCTGTTGGTAAATGTTAAGATTGATGATTTGTTCCATGAATCAACCTCAGTAGTATGGAGCTAAAAGGCTAATGAAAAGATCCATTTCTTTGAACAGCCTTATTTTAAGTATCATTTTTTACAGCACCCTAAGAGACAAAGGCAAGTGCATTATTGACCGAGGAAACGTGTCTGTGGCCATCCATGGTCACACAGATATGTTTAAATATGTTTGACTCGAAATAAACTTATTCTTGGGTGAACTGAACTCTGACTTACCCTCATGTAATTCAAGTCACTTAGATTCATGAACTTCACTATATTTATAAACTTAAGCATCAAAATCAACCATAAAATATCTATCCTATTAAGTGAAAGGGAATTCACTTTAACTAAATAGGTGAAAAATACTATTGTAAATTACTTATTCTATAAACACTAAACAGGGGTTTCAATAATTTCATGTAAAAATGGAATTATAAAATGATTAGCCCACAAACTTCTTGAAGCCCTCTCGTACACACCCTTAATAGTCTGGGAGCAGATATTGACTAAATCTGAGCGTTTGGATCATCAGTCCGTTCCTATAATAACAACAATCCCAGAAAATCATTGTACTTTGTGGAACCTGAACTTCAGTTGACTCTGATTTGTCCCACTTACTTAAGTAGACATTTTGTCAGATGTGAACTTTAGTAATTCACCAATAAAATATATTTACATATATTTAAATAAATATATCTGGAAGTAAATATTATGGATGTTACAAAGTAAATATTATGAATAAATTATAAAGGAAGCAGAATAGCATATCCAAACCTAAAGAATTTAATGATAACTTGTTTAGAGAAGGGTGTAGGATGAGAGATTATTGTCTTACCCTGAATTCAGTGTGTTTTTAAAGAAAATCTTATTTTGAATGAATTTATCCAAAATTAATATATAGAAAAATTAGCTTTGTTATCTTGTTACAGCTTTTGTCTTAAGTGATATTTAAACAGGAATCTAGTTAGCAAGCATACCAGTGAGAGATACCATAATGTCGTGATTCAATGAGAATAATTCCAGGACTGAAAATCCTTTGAAGTTTTCCAGGGATGCTGAAATTGGAGGTGGTAAGAATTTTCTTTGTGGCCTTGAATCAAATTCACTAGCATTTCACCATTCCTTAAAGGCAAAGACATGTAGCTGAGTTACCTAGGTCCTACGTCACTCGAAAAAGATCCTTGTCAACACACCTGGGTTCTCCAAATTGGTTCAGACAGCCAGAGAGATGGTGGTCGGTTAGTGCTTCTTCCTCCCCTTCTGTTTTAAAATGGAAAACAACCTGTTTCAGTGAAGTTTATTCTGTGAATGTTGCCTTTAATATTCTTTTTAAAAAGGAATAAATAATGTAAGAAAAAGGTCACAATATTTTTTTATTTTCTTATCTACTTGGTAGATCACTATTACAGCTTTTCTTAGGCTTAATCTGAATCAGAATATCCTTTCTAATCAATGTGAATTTCTGACATTGATTTTGAAGTCATATCTGGAGTAGAAGGAGGGGGGTCCAAAGCATAAGCATCCAGTGGGCTGCAGGAGAGGACCGGCTCTCTCTCCCACCCCTGAGGCTTAGGGCTTCCATGGCCTAATCTGCAACTACTTGGTTCAAGGGTCCTCTGTCTTTTGATTTGGATAAAAAGTACATTCTAATTTTAACTTTTATCTGAATAAAACATCCATTTCAGCGAATGTGAAGTGCCTTTATATATTCTTTAAGTCCTTTGATGATTCTTATTATTAGTGACATGTAACAGTGAGTGCATTCCATAGAATATAACACATACCCAATTGGTTCTTGCTTGTGTGCTGTATGCCACAGTTTAAATAGAAACCCCAGGAGGTCTGTGGACTTAAATTGTTCTATGAGGAAATTCCATCTTTCGTCAGACTATTGTATAAATAGCGGGCACTTTTAACATGCAAAGAACTCTTGAAATATTGTAGACTGACTGTCTTCAAACATTAACTAAAAATGCTTTCTACCACATATCATTAAAGAAAAGTGAGTTTCATATGTGATCGTCATACAGACTCTGTCAAAGGATAGCATGTTTTTGGAAGGACTCTGAATTACACTGTGAGCTGAGCAGGAGCGTATTGGTCAAATACATGCACACATCTACATGCACAGACAAGGAGAGCAGTGTGAAGCTAACCTGTTTTTACATGGCCTATTAGATGGTATTAGAAAGTCAATGTCGTAGAGTGGTTTTTAGAAAGCGTCTATTACAGTTTTCTAAACGTCAAGCTTCTTTCCTTATCCATTCCTTTATTTTGCTTTTTTGTTTTCTCTGGTGCTGTGAGACTGTCTTTGGATATGGCCAATATCCCTGTTAAATAACCCTCTCATGGAAGGGCCTGTGTCCTCCGAGGAAAGGTCTGAACCCACACATAAAATCATTCAGAAATACCACTTCATTAAAAACATGTAACAAGAACGTTTAAGGTTAAAAGAGATTATAATATAAAATTAATCTTCTCCAAAATCCAAAATTTTAGTAATTCTTTTTCACTCGTTGAAAGATGAAACTAGTTTATTGTGAACAGGCAATAAATTAATTTTTTTCTCCAAACAGATTTCTTTTTTTAACCAAATTTCTTTATCTTTACTGAATTTTGATTCATGTCTACAGCTTACTCTGATCCTTTTGGTGAATTACACTGACAGCCTGGTCTCCACATTAGCAAGTATATTAGTTCTTGCACATCACTAATATAGCACTTACTTTGGGGTGTGTGAATAGCTAATTAATTAATTAACAGTTAGGAAATTGCAGTCTAAAGCTATAAAAGTGTTAATATCCCCAAAATGTGTGGTTAACACGTGAAAAGTGTTACTCACCAGGTGGATCAGACCATCACAACCCTGGAAAATGCACATCATTTACTGATTAGGAATAATTTTATTAGGACAAACTCTTCACACACTGATTAGTAGTATATAGGTAGCACTTTTTTATTAGTCAGTTAAGTGACATTTCAATTGCAAGTCCAATTCAACCATCATTAATATTGTTTTATTTGATCTATAATCCATGGCGTTAAGCAATCACAAACTCACTGTTTATTAAATAGCACAGCACAAATGGTACCCAAATTCTCTTAGCATGCAGGCATACTTTAGAAAGGTTGCAGCTTCCAGTCCAGAGTACCACAGTAAAGCAAGCCATTAGGGTCCTTTGGTTTCCCAAGGCATGTAAAAGTGATGTCTACACTATTCTGAAGTTCAGTAACTAGGAGATAGCATTATGAAAAAGTTTGAAATACAAAATGTGACAAAGAAACATGTAGGGAGCAATGCCAGCAGAAGACTTACCCAACACAAGGTTGCCACCACCTTACAGTCTGCTACCCAAAACCCAGTGTCAGCAAACTGAGCAGCCAAGGGCAGTGAAGTGAGGTATGCTGATCACAGCCCTCCCTAGGTTGACAGACATTTCCTTTAACTCCGCGACAGCCACGTTAAAGAACTGGTAGGTCACTCAAAAACTGTAACCTAAAATCGGGAAAGAAACCAAATACATAGGAGACATTACTTTCTTTGTGTTTTAATCTCCACGAGGATAATTTGGATATGCTCTCTTTGTAGCGCCTGTTGAAATACACATAGGGAATATTAAACTAGAAGGTTTGTCTGTCAAATCTGTATTCACAGGCAGCAGGAATTTCTGGAGGTTAATTACTTAATGTAAATAGTCAAACTGGATAGGTGATGCGTGTGTCTACACAGCAGAGCATGGATTTAAGGGTCAAGAAAATCATTGACATGCAAGCATTTTTCTTCCCTGAAGAGCTCGACTGCTGCCTGTCTCTGGCGGTCCTGTGACTTTCACGCGCGAAACGGAATCCACAGCCTAGAAACTTTCTGTCTAAAACAAGCAAACAAACTATAGCTGCGCAATAATAGATCTTTTTACAAAAGGAAGAAAAAAGATTAAGACTTCAGGAAATCAGTACCCAAAATATATGGTGGGTTTGTTTGCTTGTTTGTGCCCTTTTACTTTTCCTTCTGGAAATATATTTCCACCCTCGTCCCTTGGGTCATTGACATCGTTAGAGACAAAGGAATCCAACGAGATACAATTCTTTCTCAATTCCTAGTAAATTTTAAGCTTATTAGTGTTTTTGGAAAAAAATCCACGGAACTCTTTAGTAGGATTCGTTATTTGACAATAAATGAACTGTGAAATTGAACAGCACCAAATAGTGCATGTTTAATACATTTAAAATGAGTTGCAATTGCCTGTGGTTTGGACTCTGGTGGAAGGAGGTGCAGGATGGCAAAATGAGAGGTTTATTTAGCGTCTGGGAGAAGCTTATAAAAGAGCTTAAGTCCTCATTCCTGCTAACATCTTAACAGCTGTGCAGTTTCTTACAAAATATGTTTTATCGTTTCAAGAAATGCTGTTAACCTCGCAGTTTTAAAACTGAATGAACAAGGCCTCTTGGACAAATTGAAAAACAAATGGTGGTACGACAAAGGAGAATGTGGCAGCGGGGGAGGTGACTCCAAGGTTAGCCTCAATGTCACCAAAAGCGGGTAAACAGTATGTACAGTAATAGGTGCATCTGCTGGGAGACATATGGCTGACACCTAGTAAAACCACCAGAATCGCTGGTCAAGTCCCTTCACTACTTAAAGTATGCAATTACTGTCAAAGCAAAAATATTTGCAAGCTTTGTAAATTTGGGGCCCCACTTACAAACCTAATTGAATTATCCACTGAAAATCCCTCGTTTTGGATATTATTGTCCTATGAACCTTGGTTTAGGAAAACAGGAAGGGCTGCAACTGTGTAAAAGAGCAACGTGGTGAAGCAAGGAGAGAGCAGCATGGGTAAGTCCTGTCTCGTGTTCTTCGCCAGGGCAGGGCTAGAACCTTGAACATTTGTAGGGAGCAGCAATAAAGTAAATTCCACTCAGACCTGTCTAGATTCCAAACCAGAAAGTCTTTCTCCAGCTAAGGTTCTTAGGCTTCTAACAAAGTTAAATCAAAGACAGCCACATGAACTAGACTTTTTTTTTCCCTTCCATATATGAGGCAAGCTACAAAATGGACATCGATATAAAGAAAATTAACTCAATTTTGTCTTCACTTCATCCTGAACGTAGTCCCAGCCTCATGAAATAACTCATATTTTTTAGCATTGACTGAAGAAAAATATATAAGGAGGAATATGACGTGAAATATTAAGCCTGCCCAAGAAACTTAACTAGATACCAGTGATCATAGACAAAACAAACCACAGAGGGAAAACATCAGGGTTCATTCTGTCACTTGGTGTATATAAGAAGTATGAAAAAATTTAATTATACATTATGGTCCTTGTTTTAAAATCTAGAGAACTATGCAAGACACGAAATTCTATTTGTCTGGGGGTTCTTGATTGACTATACATGTTCTCACTGGGCCACCAGCCACGGGAAAAGGCCCTGGTTGGAGATGATCAATGCGTGTCCGAAGAGAGCTGTGCTCCACAGGGTTTTCAACAGCTGGCTGATTTTTCAGAAGGAAGTTGGCAAGCCTTTGTGCCTAGGTGACTTGGGGTGGGCTTGAACCTCCAACCTGTTGACAAGTAGCTCAGCACATTAACATTTTGAGACCTCTCGATCCTTTCAAATTCACCTCACTGGTGTTATTTCCAGCAAACAAGCTCTGTTTCTGGTGAAAGAAGGGCAACAACCTTTGCCATGTGGACTTCGTGGACACAAAGGAAGGCAAGACCCAATCCTCTGCTCCCTCAATCCTGACCGTCTTTCCTGATTCTGGAGGAAGTCAGCGTGTATGGAGAGGAATGACAAGGGCACTGTTCATTATGTTTTTCTTAAAGTGCATTCTGTCTAAATTTTGGAGGTTTAACTTACCTAGAAATTTCTGATAGCTTACACAAAAATATGAATATGTAAGAGGATGTCAAAAAGTTCATGGGAGAATCCATGGTCTTTTCATTCAATGTTTCCACATACGTTCTGAAGCTCTCTCATATGCACAGAGAAAGCTAATCAAGTTTACACTGATAATCTAACATTTCCTCCCTTAAAATTAGAAATGTGATAAAATTTGCCTCTAAGGAAAAGAAACATGAAGGTATTCCATTACATTGGGAAAAGCTGCTTCTGCAAATTGTTATTTGCATTATGAATATGGAAGCACTACTTTATAGATATATTTTTCTATGAAAATGAATAATAAAGTCTTATTTTCCTTAACATTAAACTCCTTCCAGATGGAAATAAATAAACATAAGCAAGAGCATTAGATAGGTTGGGGAGGGAAAAATCTCTGTAACTGAAAAGAATATTTTAATTTATTTGAATGAGGGATTGGACAATTCAGATTCTGATATGCTTGTGTCCATCCAGTATGTCTTTTTGTACCAAACAGTCTCAGTAGATATGTTGTTCCAAAAATAAGTGTTAATGTCACTTTCTCGTTGTCCAAAAGCAAACTGCTGTATGTTACAGGTACGCTGCCCATTACTTTTAGCGCACAGAAGTAAAAAATTATATTCTGTGACTTTTAAAAATTATAATAAGTAATTTTCTAAAATGTATTCAAATTAATATAAAACATTCATCCAAGGTAAAACAGCAGTATTTTGAGGGGAGTGAAAATTTGGTTTAATACTAAAAATAAGAACATCCTAAACGGCTCATATTGACATAATATTTGTCCCCTAGAGAACAGGTTGTTATGTTCTCAATGCTGATGATGATCCGCTCTGAATTTGTACATGAAGGTAATATTTTGAATGGTCTGACCTAATTTTGATCACAGTAAGTTACGGGAGCCTGTTGCTCTTTCATCTGGAGGTTTTGTACCTTCTAATATAGAATTTTCACCTGCATCAGTGACTGATTTTCTTTTGAAATGTACCTCTCCCCTACCATTAGCCTGTCTGACTCCAAAGAGGAGGAAAAATACTAAATTGAAGAAGGCAGCCAGCCTTTGCTGACAAATGACTGCAAACGAACATTGGGAAAGCACGCATGCGCGGACGTCTCAGCATGAGCACGCTGAGGTCCTGGTCCCCGAGTCTCGGAATCTCCGTCGGAGAAAACGAGCTTTGCTCACAGTGACTCACCAGTGAGGAAGGGAGACCTGTACTGCGCCGGAAAACACGCCTGCAGTGGAGAGCCCTCCAGTCCCTTCACACTCAGTGACGCTTCGGACCCCACACGGACAGTCCGGGCAGACGTGGTGCATTCAGTAGTCCGGCAGCATCCTAATTCAAAAAGTTCCCAAGAGGAGATAGAGCATCCACTTGTCGGTCACAGGATTGTGACTTCCACAGTTCCCACGGAAGAGGCAATTGCTAAACTTCAGCCCTAACAGAAATTGGGCCAATACTTGTGAGTGGAGCAAACATGCCCCTTTCATTTCCCTCAAAGGGGCTATGCCCTAGAGCAGTGGTTCTCAACCTTTCCGAATCTGCGACCCTTTCATACAGTTCCTCATGTGGTGGTGACCCCCAACCATCAAATTATTTTCCTTGCTACTTCATAACCATAATTTTGCTGCTGTTATGAATCAGGTGACCCCTGTGAAAGGGTCATTCGACCCCCAAAGGGGTCGCGACCCACAGGTTGAGAACCACTGCATAACCAACAGCTGGACTACTTAGAATCACTATGAAGCACTCCAAAATATCCAATGGATATGCAATCACTGCTCACTGAATAAGGAACCCTGATGGCACAGTCGGTGAAGAGCCGGTTGCTAAGCGAAAAGGTAAGCTCTCGAACCCACCAGCCACCCCATGGGGGGAAAGTGGGAGAAAGACGTGAGCGTGTGCTTGTGTGAAGTTACAATCTGAGCAATCCCGGAGGGCAGGTCTACCCTTTCCTACAAGGTCTCTATGAGGAAGAATTGATTCAACGGCAACCGGAGCAGTCATACCCACTGCCAATCCCAGTACTAGCAAGTTCAAGCCAGTGTGCTGCTCAACCAGGAGGCTTTACAGTAAAGTGTTCAAATTTCATAGAAGATATAAGAACAAGTGTACAACATCTTAACTGAAATAAATCCAAATGGAGAGGCATGATACGGGGGCTATAAATTTGTCTTTGAAAACGTGTTCCCTCAGTACTGTTAAAATGAGAACGAATTAAAATCCAGGGGAAAGTGGAATTAAGAGAGCATGGTCTTTTTTCATGAACTTTCTGAAGACCCTGTATTACCAAAGTGTGTTCATTGAAGCTCCTGAGAAATGAATACTCATTCTTGCGAATTAGATCATAGAATTTACTAATTTACAATCAACCGGTCCTCCTATCTTGAGTGTGATGTCTAAGAAATAGTTTCACCTTTGACTAATTGTGGTTTAGTTCAAGCTCACATCATTGTTAGAATTTTATGACAAGTTTTAAGTGAGTCATGTAATTCTGATTCTAGTTGCAAATATAACCATCAATGCCCCACCGTACTAAAAAGATTTACAAAACTGTTTGTTTTTTGTTTGCTTTGTAGTTTATCCTCTGTGCATAGGAAAGCACACACTCTCCATATATATATATAAAATAAAAATCCTTTTCATAAGTATGTTTACCAACCAATATATTCCCTAATAACTCTACTTGATAATATGGTCCTTGGTTGTTAACTTGGCATTTTGAAGACTACAACCCACTATTAACTTTAAAGTTTATTATAAATGGTTTACTCCCCTTCACCCCCAGGGAAGTATGAATATGATACAAGAATAAAGTCCACACTTGTCATGGAAAAGATGCAGTCATATCAGGAAAGAAAAACTACTACAGAAATCAATATGGAAAGATGACTCATAAACAATCTCCAATAATGGGAAATTCCACTAGTTGAATCTTGAATTTAGTCAATAAGAAATCCCCATGTCTCAGGTCAATTCCGACTGCTACTGGCCCTGTGGAGCAAGGTAGACCTGCCCCATAGGGTTTGAAGTGGGTCATATTGACAGACACAGACCGCCACCTCTTTCTACGGTGCTGTAGCTGGTGGGTTCGAACTCCCGAGTTCATCAGTTAGCAGCAGAGCGCTTTAACCCTTCTGCCACTCCTGATCCTTTGGTTAGTGATGCATATCCTATATGTTAAATGCCCACCAAATGGGACCCTGTAAACTCAAGCTACTGGACTGGTGTGAATGACAATGGGGATTATGCAGCAGCACGGGTAGCTGGAGTCGGGAGAAAGAGAACTTTAAGAAGCCAAAAACAGTCTTCATGTAACTCGGAATTTTCTTTTCTTCAACGATGCCTCTGGGAAGACTCTGGAACAGAATGCTCCTCTTTCATGGTTTCCTCTTTTCGGCATCAGGCTGCCTGCCTTCCACTTGCTCCTTTCAGAGTGCAGTTAGACTTCCCTGATTTCCCGACAGATGAGCTGACGGGGGTGGGGGGGGGTGGGGGCGGGAGGTCCGTCAGCTCGTTCTGCATTCACAATAACCTCAGTGCCTCCACATGCACAGAGCACTGCCGGGACACACTCACTGTGGCGACCATCTCTGACGACGAGAAATGGGCTGTGGCTTCGCTCTCAGAGGTTCCACAGTTCCTACCTCGCTCCACCGGGGTGCTTTTGAAATGATCGAATCGTAAAGTGGTGGCAGAGGGGAAAGAGCACTGGAGAATCGGGATTAACTGAAACAAAATTAACCAACACATCAATTCAACACAATCCTTGGCCTACTCAACTCTTAAATCGTGTTCATGTCAAATGCTAATCCAAAAATCAATTTAAACAAAGTATTTGAAGATATAGCACATTCACATGATCTCTTAAGTGGAATAAACAAAAGCCATAGGAGTAAGATCTTATAATATTGATAAAGAATTAAATTGTATTCAGAAGCCAGAAAGACAAAAAGGTGACACTATATCTTAGAAACTTTTTCAGAATCTAAGGTATAAGGAATGATAAGCTTTTAGTGCATTAACTGCTAAACGCAATTGACAAGAATCCTTATCATCTGATTCTTCTTTTGTTAATGTTTTTCGATCGCACGGGCTATGAAGTCACGGTATTATGAAATCTGAATCAGCCACTCCCTGTGTGACTCTACATGAAGTGCTTAGCCTCCTTGGCCCTTGATTCCATGTCTACAACATATAAGTGATAATAATCATTAAAACTGTAAAATGCTTTTAACAGTGCCTGGCAGGTATTGCTCAATAAATGTTAATGATCATCATCGTGAAGGTGTTATCTAACTGTAGATACCCCATACCATGGAACCCAAAGAGGTATATGCTGTGCTGCCTCGCAATGTCCTTACCATGGCCTAAGAGAAGTGATGACTGGCAGACATGGCCACACAACGTAATGTGGCAGCCTAGCACTAGTCAGAAGGCTATAAGGCAGCAGTTCGAAGCCTGTGGGTGGCGACCCCTTTCGGGGTCAAATGACCCTTTCACAGGGGTCACCCTATTCACAACAGCAGCACAATGATAGTTATGAAGTAGCAATCAAAATAATTTTATGGTTGGGCAGCACCACAACATGAGGAACTATTAGAGTGGCGGCTTTAGGAAGGTTGAGCGCCACTGCATCGGGAGTCTATCTCTGAAAGTTCTTAAAAACAAAAGCAAACTAAGCATAAAAATGATAGCAAGAAAAATTTTTTCCTGGGAGTTACTGCTTCCCAGCTATCTCCCTTGTTTTTCATATTATACACACAGAATTTAATGTGACTATAAAGAGCGGACGAAATCTTTGACTCTGTAATGTTGATGCTCTGTGATTCCTGACACCTTCCTCAGAGTGCAAGTACATAGTTCTTGGTATCAAAGGAAACAAAAACTTTCCAAAAGATAAATGAGACTTATAGTGAGAAAGGGTTTTTCTCTTGAGAAAAATTCTGGTTATCCAGATAAGAATTGGTGCAATGTACTATACTCACTTCACTAGGTATAAATTAAGATGGCAGACTCAAGATGAAAATAGTTCTTGATGGTATTCTTTCTGTTGAACACTGCTGTTCAGAAGGAGAACATCAGCATGGGATTATACTTCACAATAATATTGTACATGTTCGTCTTATAATGATCTTTTGCACGAGAGAATCCCCCTGCTCTTTCCGTCAGGTTCTGGGGGAGCCTGGTGAAGGCATCTGAAGAGTGATAAGTTAAGAAGCCGTGGGGCGTGATGAGACATTAGTTCACAGCACCAAGATAAAGTCCACTAGATGTATCATAACGCGTACAAGAAATGGAATCCGTCCCGTCTAGCTTCTATTTATGTCCGGCTCTTAAGCTTCAGCCACTTTCATTCATTTGAAACGGAGGGTGGGGTAGGGGCGGAGAGCTTCTTAATTTTTTAATGACCCTCACACTTCTGTTGGAAAACCTATAAATGAGAGAAGCACTCAGGCCAATAGTTTTGCGTTCACAGTAATTGCATACATTTTATTTTAAAATTCTCCCTAGCAGTATGTGCCTGTTACCTAAAGCGATGGAGCAGGTCCCAGTTTTATGTCTGTTTCCAAACCTGGGCCTACAGTACAGACATAGCGCCAACTGTGGCTCTGCTCTGTCACTTTGCCATGCGATTCTAATGTAGTTTGACTTGAATAACATAAAATAACATCTATAATGTTATTTATGTTATTTTCCACGTGAAGAACTCCTGTAAACCTTGCCGTTTTGAAACTCAGTGAGGCAGGCGTCTTAGACAAGCTGAAAAACAAATGGTGGTACGATAAAGGGGAATGCGGACCCAAGGACTCTGGAAGCAAGGTCAGTCGCTGCAGTTCGGGCCTCCTCTTGCGTTCACAAAGCAGTAAACGGGAGCAATTATCAACAGTATGCGGAAATAGTAAAAGTAGCATTTCTCTCTACCCTCAGTCACTGCCCAAATTTAAAAGTTAATGTCATAAATTTCAGCCACAGAGACTGTCTTTTTGAGTAATTGTCACCTGCTCCCCCCCCCTAGAAAATATTTTCCGTAAACTTCCATTAACTGAAAAAGCTAAAATAAAATAATAAAATTACTTATAGTAGTCTCAAATATACGTACCACTAATAAAAGTAGTGTGGGTTTTTTTTTTAATTGGTTTTATGGTTGGATCTTGTATTGATTTGTTTTGGAGGCAAAGACCAGGAAATCTATCATTGCAAGTACTATGTGCTCACAAAGCAAGAAGTGAGAAATTGCTCAGTAGTCACTCAGAAAACGACTTTAAATATTAAATAAATGTGTATTCAGCCTTTTGTCATGATATTGCCAAGCATTCCACTTGTGAAGTTTTTAAAGGCCCTATTATAGTTTCATGCTGACAGATAAACAGAGTGAGCTTTTTAATTCTATCCTCTTAATCAAAAGGATTGTAAAAAATAAATCGACGTACAAGAATAATACCCTCAAGTTCTAAAATCTCTGGTCCACGGGTTGTTCTAAAGTGATGCTGGCCTGATTCAGCTGAGTGCAAATGAGAGCAGTGTTAGAAGCACTTGCATTTTTACTCTAGAGCCAAACTAGGCAACAGGTGGAATCCAAACTTTTGTACAAGTCCCTAGAGCACAGCACCAGTGCCTGAAAGCCATACTTGAGGATCCTCTTTTTAACATTTTTTTCCTGGTATCTTCTAGGAAAAAACAGGATTCTAGAAAAATAAAGTATTGGCATTGTAAGACATTAAACCAGGGACTGTTGTAAATGGAGAATCTCAGTTACCCTAAGGAAGAAACAATCCTTTTTCAGGGCTTCGCCTCTGTTCATCTTTGAACTTGAATGAGACAAGCTTGCAGGAGTTAATAAAATAGTCATCTCAAATACTTAGAAGTACAAGGTTTCTTTCTAAAATACTAAGGTTTTTGATCTGGTTAGTTGACCTCATGACCACCTGGTCATCCCTTAAACATTCCCCTAATAAAATTGTGTAAGCATCTGAATCACATTTTCTATCAAACATACTGCCGAGAAGATGATGACCACAGGGCATCCTTCAGGTATGCCACACAAAATAACTTCTTCAAATAATGTTCTATCATAAATATATTTATAATTTTGTGGGGGAAAGTCCAAATTTGTTACAATTTTTGAAAAAATTATGTGCTTGGCTATTTCTGAATGTATTGTGATATAATACATGTGCTTAAGATTTGAAGAAAAATATATCTCTAAGTATTTTAAAGTGGTAATGGAATTGTATTTCTAAATAATTAAAAATAGCTTTAATTTTGACCATACCTAAATAATTTATTTCTCAAATGACCACTTTAGTTTTTAGTTTAATGCTATTTATTATGTGTTTTTTAAAGATCCTGTAAAAATGCAACTCAAAGAACAAGTAAAGTGTGTTCTAGTACACTATTTGCATATATTTGCAAAAATAGTAATAAAGAAAGTACACAACTGCTAGTTTCAAGACCATTAGCTCCTTAAAGAGAAAACATGAGTTAGGCTTCTTCAGAAGAAACTTCAAAAACTCAAAGTATGTTTTAAAAGAAACAAGGCGAAATCAGGTCTTCTTCCTATGTAAATGGATTTTAAACATGCTCATTTCTAAACTTTATAATAATAAGCCCACTCCTGCCACCCAATAAAAATAAATTCTTATAAATGGCTAAAGATAGTTATTTTCACTGCAGATTTAATAATGATAGCATGCTACAGATGTTATTGAATGCTGTTTATTGGAAATCATCGTAATTTCATTTCTCCCAAGAGCTCTAAGCTTCTGTTGATATCCATAAACAAATATCCGAGACTAAGACATGTAAATGATTCCGTGATAAATTATGCACTTGCTGTCTGATTTACGTGTTCTTTTAACTCCTGGATGTGACATTTCCACAGTTAACTGGATTGTCTTTCTGCCCCTCCAGGACAAGACAAGTGCCCTGAGCCTGAGCAACGTAGCTGGCGTCTTCTACATTCTGGTTGGCGGCTTGGGCTTGGCAATGCTGGTGGCTTTGGTAGAGTTCTGTTACAAGTCCAGGGCAGAAGCGAAGAGAATGAAGGTGGCAAAGAGTGCACAGACTTTTAACCCAACTTCCTCGCAGAATACCCAGAATTTAGCAACCTATAGAGAAGGTTACAACGTATATGGAACCGAAAGTATTAAAATTTAGGGGTAGGACTTAGGGCCTACTACAGCGAGTGGGTGATGCATCCTGTAAACGCAGTGTTGTGACCTGTCTGTCCAGTGGTGGTATTGCTTGCTTCTACTTAGAGCTTTATATTTTTTAAAAACTTCAGCGCAAAGTGGTTCGGTTTTCTTTGGCTGCAGACGTACTGTTTGAAACTCTATGTTGCCAATAGATATCTGCATTGTGAGGGTCAGAAAGGCAAAAACGAATCTCCAGAATTGCCTCACGAAATGATCTAACAGTTCATTCGACTTGAAATTTGGGAGAAATTGGGAACTGGATCTGGGCTCCTTGCACACAACCCAGGCTAATCTTTCCTGTGCCCAATTTTAGGGTAAATGTTAACAAAATAAGTGCAGAGCCCATTTCAAATGCTCAAAGCCTAGACAGTTGTCTCTTTTTTATAAGGTCATATTATTTTCTGGAAAACAACATAAAAGCCCCAAGAAAGTGGCAGGCACTCAGTCAGTGCTAAGTGAATTTTAGTTCTTATTCTAATTTGTATGGATGCCCTGAAGGCACACTGGGTAAAGCGCTCCTTTGCTCTCGAGAAAGCCCCAGGTTTGGACTTGCTAGCAGGCAGTGGGAGAAAGACATGACATTTTGCTTCTGTAAAAATGAACAGTCCTGAAAACCCTACGGGGCAGTTCGTTCTCCTCTGTCGTACAAGGTTGTTACGAGGTGGAACTGACTGCACAGCACGGGGTAGTTGTTGTTGTTATTCTACTTCATTTTACATTAACCATCAGACTACCTTCTAAAAGAAAGAAAGAAAAAGAAAAAACTACTTGTTCATCTGACAATAGCCCTTGAAGCAGAGCCTTAGGCAGGAACGATGGCCAGAATATGGACCGCGATTCATGTTTCTTTTATGAAATGCTCCTTTTCTGTTCATGGTATCACTAAAGTGAATTGGTATTTTAGGCAACACAAAAATTTCTCCATCTAATATTTCAACTACATATGTAGAAAGATTCAGTAAAAGATAACAATTTACAGTGGGTTGTTATTGGGCTTTCCCCCCATTCCTATTGCTTTTAAGCAAGCAGGGGCAGCTTTACTTACATTCTCTCATGTCACCAAAAATTTTTTTTAAATCTTATAAGCATTCAGTATTTTATGGGGATTTGAGATCTTTTTTTTAAGACTCTAAAATGATGTTCAATACTTTCCCCCCCTATAATAACACTGGGCACACTTAACAAAATAAGATTTGAAAGCATTTGTTATTGCTCTTCCTAAAATCAAGTCTCTAAAACCACTTTTCTAAAATTATACATAATGGTCAATTGAATCGGCTGCTCATTCCGATTACAATGATAAGTGAGCCTTTGAACCCATGAGAGACTTTGAGTGCTTGAGATACTCCAGAGTGCAAAGCCCAATATAGCTGTTAGTAAGAACAATGTGCACCTTTGAGGCTATGCCGGGCAAACGTACATGGAACTTTTATATTTCCTAAGATGCATATAAAGTTTCTAAAAAGAAACAGACAAAGGTAAGCCCTTCTTACCAACATCTAATTACCGTGACTCATAACCGGGATGTCAGTAACCTCATGCACCTGCACATCAGTGATCTCAGAGATTTGAGAAAGTGATCTTCCAATTTGAGGAAGGACAATTACTAATGAAACCGTCAATTCACAGAGGTGAAAACACTGTGGACATGGCTGTTTGTTTGGTTTTTTGTAGACATGTTTTCTGACAAACTGAGTCGATATGAAGCTACCTTTTCTATCATGGGAAATTTTTTTCAGTTTAATCCTTACAAAGTTTCAGAGAGATTTTCCCCAAATTAGAACAAAAAATACCAACTCAGTTTCCCCAACCAATTATTTTGACAGCATTATGAGGTGAACTTGCTCACATTGCAGACAAGTTGAATCTATTTCAACGAATGGGGTCCTCATAGGTTACTGTTCCGTAGGGTACCAAAGGGTTCTGATCTCAAAAATGTCCATGTAAAACCCAAACCAAATGCTGCCAAGTTCATGCCAATTCACAGTGACACCAGAGAGGACTTCCAAAGTGGTGTAACTTTATAGAAGCAGAATGCTTCATCTTTCTCCCACAAATAGCCAGTGGGTTTGAACCACTGACTTCCCACCTAGTAGCCCACTATATCATCAGTGCTCCATAACATGTAACATTGAAAACCAAGAGATCATCCAACTAGAAGTTACTGATCCTTGACCTTTATTGCCTAAATATAACATTTTACTTAGAGATGTGTTTGACCATGCTACTCTACTAATGATCTTTGCACTCTCATACCCAAAAACATTTGCACTCTAATACGAGGTAGGAAAATCCTCATCTCTAAGACAAAACCTCCCAAGAGTCTCACTTTGAAAAGTGAAACCGTAGCAGTCATGCCACTTCCTAATTCCATGATGAGATGCTGCCATCTGAGTGAGATTTTTGATTGAAGGATCCTCTTAAAAGTTTGTTGAATTGAAGGAATTATTTCACTTCTCTGTTCTTCACTGGTCTGGTAAAATACAGCTTCTGTTCAATTTGAAACAGTGAGCATTACTTTCATGTAGAGTTTTTTCTAAAGGAATATGCATTACTAAAAGTTTTGATAAAGGTATTATTTAGAATTTTATCCTGTCAGTTTCATTTATAGGAAGAAAAAAAACGTATGTTTCTGAATATGAACACTCCTTCATTTAACAAATATTTACTGAGTGTTTATTATGTATGTGCCAAATAAAAGTTTCAAGAGAATAATAGAAGATAACCAGGTAGGAATTTTGTTTTTCAAAAAATGCCTCATTATATTTATCAATATTGCATAGTGTAAAACAATAAATCATAATGTTTTCTGATTATGAAGACAAATGTGAAGTTTGAAACTACTCAATAAAGCAAATATATGAGGTTGGCCTTTTAAAAATTTTTTAGATATATTATGCCATTAAAATTTTGACTTCAATGCGTTTAACTCATCAGGGTAGCCGATTTATAAACAATTTCATGATGACATTCTTTTGTTTGATTATCTAACTTAATTATTTAGTATATAGTCATTCTAATATTAAATTCCAAAAACTAAATAAATTAAGGGACAGCATTTCCCCAAAAAGAAGGATAAATGTAAATTCAGAGTAGAAAATCAAGATATGATGGAGTTGTGGTCTGGGCTATAACAAACTTATGAAATATTTCATTTGCCTCACTTTTCCTCTGTGAGTTAGTATTGGAAAAAACTTAAGGGCAACAAACAGATAGTAATAAAATTTACATCAAATCATCACCTGTTTGTCCTCTCTGTAATGTAACCTGCTACTAATGAAACCAAGAACAGGAAGAGGATCAGGACTCCATAGCCCCGAGCCCATAATCTTATTATGGGACTTCCCCTTGCGATGACCATTCGGGAGATATTAAAAAATGTCACTTAGAGTCTACCCCTATACGCACACTTTTAAAATATGAGCCATCATGTCCAAGGTAGGCCTCGAGTGAACTAGATGTCACTAACTGTGCTGTTGCGGGTCATGTCTCTAACAAGTGTGAATGAGTGAGGGTGTCTGTGGCGAGGGCTTTGTTGTGAGAACAGGAAGGCTAGTTATGAACTGTCTGCATAGTATGTTTAGACGAGTCATCACAATATTAAGAGGATAATCCTTGCATTGTAAAGACATTTAACAAGGCAATAAAAAGAATGTCGAACAATGTTCTCTATATATGTATATAGATACATATATAAAGAAAGAAATGCTTACATATATATGTACACATCAAGGATATTGTCCAAACATAATGGAGCTCTTAGGCTTGACTAGGGCGCAGAGCGCTAGCAGTGTCCAATGCAGCTAATCACTACGTAGCTACTGCCCACATTTACTAAGCAAAATCTACCTGTATGTTTTTAGAATTAGATAGACCATCAAACTCTAGGCAGATTCATCTGCCAGTGGAGCTAAGCTTTCCCTTCCCCTTATTACCAGTTTCTATAGAACCAAAAGAATACGGGGAAAATGCAGATGTCTAAAACATTGATATTGTTGGTGTTTGCTGTGCCAGAGCTGGCAGATGGAACAGAAGAATTGTAACACTCCGCCTTCTCTTTGTTCCCTTTCCTGCCCCCAGCTGACTTTTTCTGAAGCCATACGGAACAAAGCCCGATTATCCATCACGGGGAGCGTGGGAGAAAACGGCCGCGTCCTGACGCCCGACTGCCCCAAGGCCGTCCACACTGGAGCTGCCATTAGACAGAGTTCAGGATTGGCTGTCATTGCATCGGACCTACCCTAAAAACCAAAAACATAATTGAGTGCCTTAATTAAACTGTCGGTGACTGAGGGAAACGCAGCCCCGATGGACACGCCGAGCACGGGTCTTGGTGAACCACCTTTGGCCGCAGCGGGAAGGGCGTCCGTATGCGCCCGACGGACGGACGGACGGACGGACTGACGGACGTCCGCAGCAGCAACGTGTGCATGAGCTCAGCTCGGAATCCCAAACTCAGATTTTATATCAGGAAAATTCACAATTTAGGTTTTTTTCGGGGAATGGGGGTGGGGGGAGGGAAGTTGGGGTGGGTATATTAACAGCAACAAATTTCACTCGAGTGGACTTAAAAACAAAAAAAAACAAAAAACTAATCAGACTTGCGATATAGCGAATTCAACTGTGAAGTTCTTGCTCAGAAAGGCCTTTGCCTTCCTGCAAGGGATACACTAGATAGAGAAGTCAATGGACATGCTAAACTGGGGCTCCAGCACACCCATCTAGTCAATGGATGGATGTCCAGCAGAGAAAACAAGTCACTAAACTGTGATAAGAAAATAATAAACAAACATGTAAATCCTGTGAAAAAAAATTATTAAAGAGAGTATTTACAACTTACTTTGGAGAAAAAAAATACTGAAACATGCTTGCTTTTTAACTGACGTAAATTCAGTAGAGGACAACACGATTCTTTTTTCTAACCATCTTAGGGAACAATACATTGCAATAATTAATATAAATGCCATCACTGTAATAAACTTTTCAGACTTTTTTTTTCTTTTTATAAAAGTTGTTGGTCATCTTGTTTGTGTACCCTTCACTCTGTTACATAAGTCACTGTCCACAGACTGCATCGGTCTCACTTCCAGGAACGAAAACAAAAAGAAGAAAAATGTTAGGCAAACATCATCACTCTGCAATGTAGAATCAAGAGAGACTACGGGTCACTCATGGTACCGATATTATTTATAATCTCGTTGTATGTACAAAATTGTGGTTTTTATACCCACCGAAAAGAATAAAAACAACAGATGTTCTTATAATATCTACAGAGCTTAAAGGTTTTTTCTTATCATTATAAAAGTTATCTGAGAAGTTAGAAGACTAAGAGGCGGGATTTCAGAGGTCACGTGGTGGGTCATATTGGAAAATGTAGCTAGTCTTTATTTTTGCATACTACGCTACGCTTCTTTTACAGACCTCTGACTTGTTAGCAGGTTAAATTGTCAAAGATGGCGTCTTTGAGTCGGGAAATCAACCATTGTCATAACGACATCAAATCCTGTAATTGTGTATTGAAATTTTATTTAACTGTATTTTGCTGCATAAAATGGTGTCTCCTGGGCTTCTCCCCCTAGTCTCGTTGTTCCATTTGAATCACTTGCAGGCATTAATTGTGGTTTGGGGTAGACAGCAAATGAAGAATTAGTCTTTATTCTCAGTGCAAAGTGCTTATTTATAACAAATAGGTTATGTGTGGACGAAATTAATGTGTTTGGAAAGAAAGTCTAGTTCCTTTGAAATAATAAGTGCTGTAATAGTTAAAACAAGCAAACAAAAACCTATAGTATTTAGGGATCATGTTAGAAAGCACAATTTAGGATGATTGTGGAAGTCTGGCCTTGAAGAATGAGTTGCGTTTTCCTAGGTGGCCCTGAGTTGTGAAGGCCAGTGGCTTGTGGAAAGAATGTATATAACATTATGGTCTGTGGAGAGCACAGGGTGATATCACAGAAGTAAATGTTGGAAAAGGTGATGGATTGTTCTCATTGACTCAATGCTTGATATCTGCACCCCAACCCCATTCAATCTCTGTGTTGTAATCAGAGAAATCATAAGAAGGAAAAAAAAAAAAAAAGGAAATCTGTTAACACACACACAGGTCCCTCAGGAAAACCCCAAGCTCTTGAGGAGAGCATATGAGACCCTTTATGAACTGGCCTTTGCTATCTTCCAAACATCTCTTATCATGCGCCACGCCCCCAACATCTCCCCCCCCCCCCAGTGAGCCTCAAAAGCAGCACATGAGACACTGCATATACTATTTCCTCAATGTGTAACACTCTTCCCTGCCTCCTCTCCACCTAATTAACTTGTACTCCTTCTTCACTACAAATCAACTTTGACTTGCCCTAGAAAGGTTTCAGTGATTATCTACCACTCCCTGCCTATGAGACTGACTTAGGTGCCCTTCTTAATGTCTTTCCCCATCACAGCACTTACCACACTGCATTGTAATTGCCTGTGTACTTGTCTGTATAACTACTAGACTGTAAGCTCCTTGAGGGCAGGGATTGTGTCTATCTTGTTCACAGTTGTATCCCCAGCACCCAGCACAGTGCCTGGCATATTGTAGGTGCTTAATAAATATTTGTTGAATGAATGAGTGCATTGAACTGAATTCATTTAATTAAATGGAAATAGAAAGAAACCTCTTTCTTCCTGTACAATCCCTAAATGTGTATTAAGTATGTTGTTGTTGGGTGCCAGCAAATCAGTTCTGATTTATAGCAACCTCGTGTGACCGCATAGGGCTCCACTATAGAAGTTTTCTTGGCTGTGATTTTTACAGAAACAAATCACACTGTCTTTCTCCCACGGAGCCCCTTGGTGGTTTAACTGCCAAGCTTTGGGTTAGCAACCAAGCACTTAACCCTTGTGCCGCCCAAGCTAGTGAGCCAAAATGGAGGGTAAAATTGCATTGATTTCTGATGCTGCATACCTCTCTGGGGAGCGGGGACAGCTATATAGAAACAAAAATGATATGATAAATGTTCTGACCAGATGAGAAGGCATTCTATGACATTGGATCTTGCTACGGAATAATTGGTTTTGTCAGAACAAGTTTTTGTTGCTGTTGTTATTTCAGCCATACTTCCAAACGTATTGTCCATTTAAGTCTCAGAAATTAGTGATATACAATTATGTTATTTTTCTTATACTAAAGAACAATTTTGTCAAAATATAAGAACACGATTTTGAATGTGACATCAGTAAAAATAGAATATCATGCTAGATTCCAGCCTTAAAAACATTGTAAAATGGGATTCTAAACTGTTTACATTTTTGCTAAATTTAATACAAATAAGCGAAAACATTTGATTCCATAATGTGAAAACATTCTTCCCAAACAAGCAAGATCACCATCCATTGCAAAACCCCCTGAATATATCCGGTGTGGTGAACTTTGAAGCTACAATGGCTAGCTGAACTTCCACAATGACCACTTCTGGATAATAAAAAGAATGCTCTGGAGGACCCCTTGGCTACACTTGATTCAATACCTACTAGTGCTGAAAATGCCAGTCATGTTGCTATTGCATTTGCTTCGCCATTCATCTTGGTTGTGTTTGTTGGTCGTCCCATCTGGAAACTACCACTCATTCTGTTACTCAAACATGCAGCCCATATGGTACTTAGGTGCCATCGAGGCGCTTCGGACTCATAGCGACCTTAGGTACAACTGAAGAAAACACCACCTACTCCTGGACCCTCCTCACAACTGTTTTTATGCTCACTGTTGCAGCCATTGGGTCAATCCATCTTATCGAGGGCCTCCCTCCTTTTTGCTGTTCCTCTACTTTACCAAGCATGATGTCCTTCTCCAGGGATTGGTCTCTCCTGATATCATGTCCAAGGTGCATGAGACCAACTCTCCCCATCCTTTCCTCTAAGGAGAACTATAGCCATACAGCTTCCAAGACAGATTTGTTCATTCTTTTGGTACTATTAATATTTTTCTCCAGGACCATAATTCAAATGCATTGCTTCTTGTTCAATCTTTCTTATTCGATGTCCAACTTTCACATGCATATGAGACCATCAAAAATACTATAGCTTGGGTCAGGCACATCTTAGTCCTCAAAGTAACCTCCCTGCTTCCAAACACTCTAACAAGGTCTTGTGCAGCACATTTGCCCAATGCAATGCATCCTTTAATCTCTTGACTGCTTTCCCCATGAATATTGATTGTTGATTCAAGACAAAAAGTCCTTGGCAACGTCAACTTTTTCTCCATTTATCAAGATGTTACCTACTGGTCCAGTTGTGAACCTTTTGGTCTTTGTAACACTGAGTTGTAATCCAACAGCCACAACGCTGTCCAACACTTGCCTGATAATAAGGAGGCAGCGTTCCCTTGTTCTGTCCCACCAACTACCTCTTGATCCAAGTACAAGTTCCACATGAGCACAATGAAATATCCTAGAATTCCCATTCTTCTCAAGGCTATCCAGGATGTTAGGATCCCCACAGTCCAATGCCTTGGCATAGTCAAGAAAACACAAGTAAACATCTTCTGGTATTCTCTGGTTTCAGTCAAGATACATCTAACATCAGCAAAGATATCCTTTGTTCCACCTTCTGTTCTGAATCTGGCCTGAACCTCTGGCAGCTCTCTGTTGATGTACTGCGACAACTGTTGTTGAATGATCTTCAAAACAAATTTTACTTGCATATGACTTCAATGATATTTTTCTATAGTTTGAGCATTCTGTTTAGTCACCTTACTTTGGAATGGAAACAAATATGGATCTTTTCCAGTCAGTTAGCCGAGTAGCTGTTTTCTAGATTTTCTGGTGCAGACCAGTGAGTGCTTCCACTGATTCCATCAGTTCCTGGGGGTTCATTTTTGGCTAATGCTCTCAGTACTACTTCTTCCTTTAGTAACATTGGTTCTTGTTCATATGGCACCTGCAGACATGGTGCAATATCAACTAGTTCTTTATGGTACAGTGGTTCTGTGTGCTAGTCCCAGCTTCCTTGGATGCTTCCTGCATCATTCAATGTTTTGCCCATATAATTTTTCAGTGTTGCAAATGAAAAGCTTGAATATTTTCTTCAGTTCTTTCAGTTTGAGATATGCTAAGCACGTTCTTCCTTTTTTGGTTTTCTAACTCTAGTCTTTGCATATTTCATTATAATATTTTACTTTGTTTTCTTGAGATACTCTTTGAAATGTTCTGTTCAACTTTTTCAGTTCATCATTTCTTCCATTTGCCTTAGCTACTATGTGATTAAAAGCAAGTTTCAGAGTCTCTTCTTATATCCATGCTGATCTTTTCTTTCTTTTCAGTCTTTTTAATGAATGACCTTTTGAATGATGGTCATGAATGATGGTCTTGATGTCCTCTCACAGCTGCTCAGGTCTTCTGTAATTAGTGTTTAAAGTTCTCAAAAGTCAGGTGGGATGAACTGAAGGTCTTGGGGACTTATTTTCATTTCTTCAGTTTCAAGCAGAACTTACATGTAAGCAATTGATGGTCTCTTTTACC